AAAAATCTTTAAAAAAAAAAAAACGGGTGGGGAGGGTTTCTGTGCAAGAGGGAGCCATCAACACAGAACATGCCGCTGAAAGGGAAGGTGTTGAATTGGGGCAAGAATGTCCTCTGTGGGCCAGCAGAGTAGCTCAGTTGGTTAAGAGTTAGCTTAAGAGCGCGAGCTCTGAGCAACAGGGTTGCCATTTCGATTCCCGCATGGGCCATTGAGCTGCGCCTGAGCTGAGCTGCTGCTGAGCTGCCAACAGGTGGCAGGATGGCTCAGCTGGTGAGAGCACGTGCTCCTAACAACAAGGTTGCTTGTTCGACTCCCACATGGGAGGGTGGCTACGCCCATCCGCAACTAAGATTGAACACAGCACCTTGAGCTTAGAGGCCACGAGCTGCCGCCGGGCAGCCAGATGGTGACTGGTACCCTCCACAACTAAGATTGAAGGACAACAACTTGGCTGGTCCCTTTCCCCAATTCCCCAACACTGTTCCCCTCCCCCAATTAGAGAAAAAATAAAAATAAAATAAAAAGGTTAATTTTCCCCAAATCATTTTATAAAGTTAGTGCAGCCTCAAGAAAAATTGCAGTTGGATGTTTTGAGAAATTTGACAAATTTACACTGTCATAGATGGAGAATAAGAGTTCACTTAACAGTAGGGGTCCTTGCTCTCTCTCAGTTATGAAAACGTGTAACAAGACCATAGAGATAAAGTTTGTGGGTATTGGTGCAGGGATGGACTATTCGATTGATAACCAGGATGAAACCCACACGTTTATGGGAACTTAGTTTACAATGAAAGTGGCACCACAGATGGCAGGGAAAGGAGGTTCGCTGTATTGAGAGAGAGATGTGGATTCCTACCCGACACTACACAAGGTGGGCTCCACATGGAGTCAAGACCAAATTATAAAAGATAAAAGTGTAAAGCTAATAGAGGGACATATCTTGTGACCTAGGGCAAGGAAAGACTTCTTTAATAAAAAGGTCAAAAGTACAAACCATAAAGCAAAATATTGAATCTTGTACGTGAAAATTTAGGGTTTCAGTCAACGAAGTACACCGTGGGTAGAGCTAATTGGCTGAAAGGGTGGGAGAAGATGTTTGCTATGCCAATTGCAATCAAGGACGAATATCAAGAATATATAGGACACTCCTGCAAAACAAGAGGCCAGCAACCTCAACAGAATTAACAAAATCCTTAAAGACTGTAAAACATGAAAAGGTGCTTGAAATAATTGGTTATCAGAGAAAAAAATTAGAGATAATGCCAGTGGGATAGAGCGACTCAGTGGTGTGGAAGGCTTTTTTGCCATCACCACCGAGGGAGAGCAGGGGGCTGGCATCCAGTGGGTGGGGCCAGGGATTCCGCTGAACATGTCTAGTGCCCAGGACGGTCCCACAACGGAATAATGTGGTCCAAAATGTCTAGTGCCGAGGTTGAGAAACTCTGGGATGGAGGAACTGTACAGATGTGTCAAGAGTAATCTGATAATATTTTGCCATATGTTCTGCGACCCCCCAGTTCCACTCCAGGATATATATCTTAAAGAAATTCTTGCGCAGGCACGTATGGGCATGCGTCCAGCACTATTTGTTGCAGTGCTGTTAATGGGAGCTGGAAGCAAGCTGGATGTGTATCATTGGGAAGGTGGTTAGACAAAATGCGATGCCCATACCATGTATTATTATGTGGCTCTTAAAAATGACAAATTAGATGTACACATGGCCACATGGTTGGATCTGGACAAATAAGTTAGTAAATAAAAGCAACAAAAATAGAACACAGAACAGTATTATTTGCATAAATTAAAAACATGCATGTGAAACAAGACATTTAACAATAGAATGATTGCCCATGGGATTTGCAGAGGTGGATGTAAGAGTGACAGGAAAGAAATAGAAAAGACATATGAAATGGACCAATGGTGATGTACCAGTAGGCACCTACCTGCAAAGAGATTTGGTATGTCTCGTAATCTAGGTCTGCTAGTGATCTCATCAGATAGCAGACTCATTTGGTGTTTTAGGTTGGAGGTAGCTCTGGGCCGTTGGTTAGACTTTTTGTGGCTTTTCACTGTTAAGGTTGCAAGCTGTGTGATTCCACTGTTGCACATCAGCCAACATCTATAAAGCCTACTGGATCAATCCAGAAACATCTGTAACAGCAGGTGGGGCAACTGAGTCAGTGTGAGGAGAGTGAGGGTGGGAATTAGTGATTCCTGAGGCCCTGTTCCTTGGGGGACAGAAATCACACCAGCTCTTTGAGGTCGGGCACGGCACTCTGCAGGGGACATGGTTTCATCAGTGGACCAGTGCTTTTTACCACACAGCAACCTGAAGTTTGCCCCAACTCAGAATTTGTCATAAAATAAATTCATAGACAATAATACATGTGAGGGTCTTTAAAAAAATATTTAAAAATTTCCAACTACATTACAGAAAGTCTGGAAAACATAGTCTATGGCTTTAACACAATACCAGCATTTGGAAGCGTTTACTGCCAATCTTTTATTGTGAAAATGCCCAGGTCCAAGTGGAAAACGTGTGTCACAGGGAAAGTCCAGGCTGGAAACGCAATCCAAATGCAATCCTGGCCGCCACACGGGCCCTGGCATTCTCTCAGTGCCATGTGCTCCGTTCCCTGCCCTCCGCCCCCTCGTTTTGTCTCCGTTCACTGATTCACGCCAACATCTAGCCCCAGGATTGCAATAACATATATTTTTCTTCATAGTTGTTCACTCCGTTGCAAGCTGGTGCTAGGCGCTGGGCATTTCGTAGTGTGGGGTGCAGACATCGTGCCACCCTTGTAGGGCTTGCATTGCAGCAGAAGAGGCAGGCTAAACATGACCACACAATTTTATGGTTGAAAGTTGTTAAAAGTAAGCAAGATTTCTGCTTCAGGCCGTGATAGAGTCATTGGGACTAGATTTGCCTTCTTGTTATAAACTAGACAATTGGAGAGAATACGTGAAACAATATTTTATAGGCTTCGGACAAGAGGCAGTGCAGGGCTGTGGTCCCAAGAGAAGGCAAACGGTGAGGAGAGCCTTCTGGTTGGCTTTCTGACGTGAGGCATTTTCTAGACGGTGTTGCAGGAAGTCTGACTGAGCCAAATTTGGGGAGGAAGAGGTAGCTGGAATTTGTAGGAGGGAACTCTGCAGAGAGGGTGCTCCAGAAATATGCTTAGAATTCCCCCTTGGGTGTGTCGGAGGCGATTTCTGGACTGCAGCCCAACAACGGAGACATTCAAACAGAGCCTGGCAACCTTGCTGAGGAGAGGAGAATGAATTTGGAGTTGGGGAAGCCAAGGGGGCTAAAATTGAAAGGGCAGAGTTCCAGAAATCTGTATAGAGATTCCCTTAAGTTTCTGGCCAAAGCCCAATCTGTACATATGTAGGGCGAAACCCTAATGGGCTGGGCAGGAACAACCTCCAAAGAAATAGCAGGTATTTCTTACAGAAATAGTGTAAGATAAACAATTCCCAGAGTTCAAACAAGTTCCGCCAGCCAGAGTGCAGACTATGTTGAATAGGTGGGTTCTCAGAGCTCCTGGAGGGGCCAAGCACCTGAAGTGGGGCTTCGATGAGCCTTACAATAAGGGTACTCTAGAGCCGCCCTAAACGAGTTTTAAAATAAGACATGAACAGATCAAGCCAACTCACAAATAACTTAGCTGCCTGCCAAAATATGTCTCACATTATTTATGGAGCTATGACAGAATCTAGCAGTAAACTTAAAATTCATAATGTTAGCAACTAATCAAAACTAGACATACAAGTAAGTAGATAAATGTGATTCATAAACAGGAGAAAAATCAGTCAGTAGACCAAATCAGAAATGACAGAGATGATGGAATTAGGATTTTACAGTCCCTCAGAGA